AGAATGAATTGAATTGAATCTATAGATCAACAATGACCTGCTTAGTTTTTCTGGGTAAATGAGTGTTGTTGCTCTTCCCGGAGAAGGAGTTACTTCGGTTGAAATGTGAGGCTTATACATTATTGTTTACCATTCCTAAACATGTGTATTTTTTTGTGTGAGAAATCTCTCAAGCATTAATGCCATTAGACCCAAAACACATACGATTATGCAAGTCTTACGTTTGAAACAATGTATCCTTATATTAGTATCCTCCAATTTCCCTTCCGAATTGAAAATTTTTAATGCTCCAGATTTTACATGCCATTCCAGGTTCCCTGTTGATCATAACAAGAGGCTTCGAAGACTCTCCTCTTGGTTTCCTATTGATGTGTCTTAAGGTATTGGTATATATTAAGTATTATTAACTAATATAATAATACTTTTTTCATTTTGAAACTTAATAAAAATTAACTTGATACATAGAATTTGTATTCGATTGGAATCTGTGTCAGTAAAAGAATTTGTAATGATATACGAGAGTATGAAAGAAAGTAGAAATCTTTTAAGTTAATAATCACTTTCTTGTAATCCGTGAGATAATTTTGTCGAACGAGTAACTTATTTAAGAGATTATCAACGGAACGTGCGATTAATAAAACAATCGTCAACGAGGATATTGTCACCGATTCCTAAAAGCAATAGTGAAAATGTTCAAGGACATCAATAAGGATTGCCAATAAAAATCTATTCTTCGATATTTTCTCTTCTAGATTTTCTCGTTGATCATATCGTATAGTCTGTCTTACATACTACTACTTTACTAGATATTCAAGAAACACTCATATATTAAAGAGATGCAAATATTAACATTTTTCGTATTGGGGACTCTTTTTACCGAGATCATGTTTAGCTATTCTTGATTTGGTATATAACATTTAAATTGATTAAAAAAAAACTATACTAGCTTAAAAACACCAATGCGAGGTTCAAAGATACTATGACAAACATTCTAACACACATTTCATTAAGATCAAGGTCGAAATCAATCACATTCAATAAGAACTCATTCTTTTCTCTTTAATTCCAGCTAGCATCCAACTACAACTTTTGCATAAACCTCATCTCCAAACAAGGACCTCACGAAAGAACCATAAAATGACCCTCACTTGTTTCTAGCATATTCAGAAAATGTACAAATTGTCATTTAATACTAATCGAGCAAACATGCATGATCAAAGATACTTATGAAAAAACTTGCGCATATGCAAGGATATTTATCTAGTATATATACTTAGGGATTTTTCTCTCCATCTAAGGTATCTACCTAAGTCAAATATTTTCTTTTACAAGAAATTTTATTTTAAATCTTCAATTAATTCATGTTTATGTGTATTTATTGTTATTTATGACTATTAAAAAAATAAATTAAATAAAAAACGAAAATATGTAAACAAATGATTAAAAAATAAATACAAGAATATTTGAGTATTTTACTGTTGTAAATACAAAGTTAAAACAAGAATTATATTTCTTTAAATTGTATTTCATTTGAGAGTAATAAGAAGTTTATAATTAAGATAAATGTTTATATATTTTAATTTCAAAAATTTGGAAATATG